ATTCTCATGCCCACTCATGAGCTCGCCTTCACGTACTCTTACGGTGAGCGGGCAATTATTATCAAACCGGCAATGCCGGTGTCTACGGACAACGATGGCTTGGGTATTAAAAGAGCTAGGACATACACACCTACGGTTTTCATGAAGAGGGTGTCCTACCTCAATCTCCAGAGGGTCCTGCGCTGCGTAACCTTTCAAATAACCAGTCTACGCGAGATTACCCATAGTGCTAACAACTGTAAGGACACGCTGATTGCGGAACTCGACCGTCGCGGAGATGACACCTCCTCCAGGGACAACATATTGGGTGATCTTCGGTTGGTTCTGGAGAAGAAAGGCCTGTGGTCACCGGCACTTAATCAATTATTGTTGGAGCTGCTGTCCCTGTATAATCACGAGTACCTTTCCTTCGTGCGGAGCACCATGGAGGACCAGAACAGCTATAAATAGGGCCTTTTTTTTGTAATAAAAAAACTGTACGCTTGATGTTTCTTGCAAAATGTGTATAATATATTTTTATTTAAAAAAACTGTTTTTTTTTGTTTCCTGCACCTCCATCTCCCCATATCTTCTCAATAATTTATAAAGCATTAAGCGTATTCCGCTGTACGTTGTTATTCGACGCCGCCGTACACCTGCAGGGATTTTCACTTCGCCAAGATAAAAACATTCTTCAGAGGCGATCTGAACCCTGATTACATCATTGTTCGAAGAATGTCATGCGGCTTGGGAAACGGGCAGAATCGGGGACCAGGCCTTACCAATTAATCAGGATAAGTTTTTACGACTTAAAGCAGATTCGCGTCAACAATACGGTAATAATCGAAAATGTATCACGCGCTACAGCTTTATAATATACATAATGTGTCTTACAAAATACGGTGTTCTATTTTACCACGGGTACACTTATCTCCTTAGGATAATTAAAAAGTTACCGACCGGCGGTCAATGTATAATTACCGACCGTGATAGGCCCCTGAAGGCATGCAACGCCGCTGCTACTGAGTTTCGGGGCCTTAGGACCAGGTCCGCATGGTGGGGGGAGCAACAACACAGGTTGGCGGTGGGGAGAGCCGACCACATTGGCGAGGGGCGACGCCATAGTGCGGAAGGGGGGGGGGCGGTCGCAGCGCTGCGCGCTCCGTGACTCACAGGGGACAGTGGTGGGGGTTTGTTGTGACGGCCAGAAGTGGTATGTAATTATTGCTGTGATTGGCTGAGAAATGGATACAGGGGTATTCATACCTCGTGCATTAATTGATGACCACTAAATGTTTTAATTAGACTACCAATGATCGACTAGCGTTCTTGCATTGATTAATTCTTTCGAAGGGAAAATATTTATCGACCGTAAATGTGTGTTCCTACACCCATGTCCAGTCAAGCTGGACACTGCAATCGTTTTTTTAATTTTTTACGAAAACTAACAACCATCAAACATTTTAATTATGATATTCGTTACCACCAAACGATTACGCATCGACTGAGCACTTGAAAAACTTAACTCGTTGAAAAAAAAAAATTCAGCTAACTTCACGGTCAAATTTTGATTATTTGATTATAAAAAAATGACCGACCACCAAATGTTTTTATTAGGCCACCAATGACCACCAAACGACCACCAATCGATTTGGCATGATAAAAAGTTAAAAAGTTAAAATTGCCCGGCTAACTTCACTGAGGTTACAATTACGAAGCTGAATCGTTGCCAACGCGCCCAATACGTGTTTTTCGCATGTCATAATCCATAGTTGATAGAAGTGAGCAGCCTTACTTGTTGCGACACGGACTCTCATGAAGATGTAAGAGAAAAATTGACAGCAATGAAAAAAAATCTCATTTTTATATTTCATTTTTATCTCCTATCATTTTATGTCCAAGATTTATAAGTGTAATTTTGTTGTTGGTAATTTTTCGTAATGCCTTCTTTATCCGTCTGAATATTATTTATGCGTCATTTAAACGGTTTAACGTTCACTGATTCATGTACCAATTTATTGCATGTATACGATGTAATATAATAAAATATTTGTAGACTAATGTATTCATGTATTAAATGAATCCCCCAAAAAACACTTACGTGTAAAAAACTACGCCAAGTACAGGATTAATGTGAATTCCTCTAACAAAAAGTATTGATATCATATTATTGAGGCCAAGTACATAAGTCACTACATGTTTTCCTATTATATGATCTAGCACTGGCCCATCATTTTAATTATATTTTCAATATTTCCTATAACGTTTTCGCTACTTTTTTATGTTACTACTGCTTCCCGTATTTAATTATGACTTAATGGTGATTTAA